ATAATACTAATGCAACATAAAGCAGTACTGAGAGAGAGAGTCTCAAAATTACAAGCATTGCAATCTAGGATATACTGATCTGGGCAAAAGAAAAGATGTTTTTGATTGTTTTATATCTTCACAGTTTTGTTTTAAAAATTGTACCTTAACATGTATATTTGTAAAGTTATTTATAGACATTAACATATCTGTTCATTGGTTTAAATAGCATAGCGTTACTGTAAACTTTAAATTTCACCAAACTTAAGGGTGTTTTTTTAACTTATTAAAAATGGAGAAAAAATATATTAATCAAGTTTTTCCTTTGTGTTTATGGGAAATATTGAAAGAATGTATAGATGTACAGTTCCTTTAACAAATTACATTTAATGTTATAAATATATATATGTATTCATTAAAAAAATATTAGTTTATCCTGGATTGCAGTGAGCAAAGGTAAGTTTATTTTTCAATACATCACCAGTGGTTAAAACCAAACAAATAGCAGCAGAGAGATGATTTTTACATATTTCAGAAAAACAGGGCCAAGAATTCTTCCATCAGTTTAACCACTGTGCATTAAGGGGGTGTGGGTGTTTATTTTTCTATTTTCAAATGAAGGTATTCTTTGTGGTCGATTTAATAACAAGTATGCAGCAAAGTGAAATGTTGACTTTGGATGGTGCAGGGTAGGTTTTTTCTCTCCCCTTTGCCAGTACTGTTGTATTTTGGGCTTCAGAAATGCCATGTGAGCAAAATAGTGACACTGTTTGCAGAAGAGCTGCTACAGCTGCATATTTCTTTTGCATCTAACACATTGGAAAGTGCCAGTGATGCCTGAGTTTTGGTGTTTAGAATGCTGTGCTGTTTTGTTCCTCAGTGCCAGATAGCTGTGTAAAAGCACAGGAGGGAACGAAGGAATGTTAGCAAGGATCAAGCTGACAGTGGGGGAGGTTTGGGCTGAGCATTTTTTGTGGGTGGGTTTTTTTTGGTTTGTTTGTTTGTTTTTTTTTTTTTGTCCAGAAGACATCTTTATGTACTGCCAGAAAGAGGCAAAGCAAATTGCATCCTAAATTCTTTCTTTTCATTTTTCTCTGGTGCATATTGCATATCAATGTTGCAGAATAACAGGATGACAGCATCTCATTTAAAGATATTTTTTTTTCTTCTTAGAGCCACAGAATCCTTATTCTAAAATAAATAATTTATAGTTTGAGGTTACTTCAATGGAAGTTTGAGAAGGTAGATTTCTATAGATTTTTGTTTTGTTGGAATAAAAAAAAAAAAGAATTTTTTGGTATTTTCTTACAAATGTCTGCTAATTATGTACATTCCAAGTACTCGAAGCAAAGAGTTTTCCTGTACTGAAAAAAGAAAATGTACAAAACTGTGCATGGTTTTAAATGTTACTAGATATTATAAATATATATATAATTTATTGAGTTTTTACAAGATGTATCTGTTGTAGACTTGTTGACTTTAACATTTCTTATTCAATGCTTATATAGTTTTATAGCCTGGACTATTATCTTTAAAAGCTTAAAAAAAATTAAAAGTTCCAATTTTGTTACATTTTATACTGTTGATGTTACAATCCACAGGTTTCATAGTGTGATTTTTTGCAATGAGCAACTCTGTTCAGTTTATTTTAATACTGTACTTCTGTGCCTGACAGCTGCAGCTGTTGAAGGTGTGAGATGAACACTAAATAAAACTATTCTGCTTTTGTTAACATATGAAACTTACTTCTACCAGAAAAAAAAAAAAACAAGAAACAACAAAACAATAAACAAGTTGATAAATTTTGGGGTTTATTCCCAGTTGTGAGGGTCCTTTGCAAAACCAAGTGTTCCAGGCACACTGACTTGTAGTGCCAGGAAGGTTTAATTTTTATAGTGCTGCTTTTCAAGTCCTGGCCAGTTCAGGTTTTTTTATTCGTAATAAATTTATAGCAATTGTGGTTGAAGGGCAGTATTCTATATTTGTTAGTGGATATATTTATAGCCACACAAGCCATTGTTTGCACAGAGGTGTCAGCACTGGCTTTGGCTTCGGTGGGGCTAAGCAAGGGAACTCAGTAAAGCCTGGTTTTGCTGGTAGCAGATGATTCAGGGGATGTTGTACCTTGGGGAACTCTGGGCCAATCCTACCAGCACTTTCATACAATACTGATTCCTGCAAGTGATCCTGTTGAACTGCATCCCAGACACCTGGATCTTGACATGCAAGTTTGCCTGCATACATACAGCCTGCCTGCAGTAGCAAACCTCTGTGTTTTAAGTAGCTGGGCATGGAATGGCATGCATCCAAGGAGGAGGCAGTCTGTGGCACCAGGACTGGCACCAGCACTGTTCCATCCTAGATTTAAAAAAAAAAATTACATGGGGTTCAGGTAATTTCCTTGCCATTGTAAGAAAAGACACATATTTTAGCACCACTGTGTGGTGAGAGGACTCCTGCTACCTGAAATGAGTTGCTTTCATGCTTTGAGGACACGCTTTGGTGGGCAGCCCTGAGCCCTGCCGCAGCAGGAGCAGCATGGGCCAGAGGACAAGCCCTGGCTGTCCAGGGCTGCAGGCAGAGCGTGGCTAAATGGGCTTTTGCTGGCTCAGGAGGAGCTTCATCAGGCCAGGGTGGTGAGGGTGCTGAGCTCTGTTTGCCACCACCAGGAGTGGAAAAGCAGGACAGGGCCAGGTCCTTCTGCAATGAGCTGTGATGTGTAGCACACCTGTGCTTGAAAGCTTTCCCAATAAATGTCTGCTGGGCAAACAGAGCACAGAAATCAAAGTCACAAAGAGGAAAGCCTGTCCTGGTGCAGTGGCTGACCTGCACATGGCGCTGGCTTGGTGCTTGCTTTGCTTTCCCTCTTGGGCTTCATGATGTCATTCTTCCTCTTCTGGCCTTCACCCGTAGACGTGTTTGCTTGTGGCCTAGGGAGGAGAGGGTAATATTTTACTTTAATAGCCCTACAATGTATCCAGGTCTAAGCCCAGGATGAATATTTGGCTCTAGTGTGTGATGTGCATTAAGCAATGCACAAAACAACCTCAAGGAAAAATTGCACATTTGCTTGGGCTGTGTGACGGCATCCCACTGCAGCTCATCTCCCCTTCAGTGGCTGCAGCCTTCCACCCAAACCCAAAATGCCCTTTACACATGAAAGAGTTACTTTTCAAAGCAAAACAAACGTCTTCTTTCCACTGTGGGTGACTGCACAAATAGAGCCGCTCACTGGCCGGCGTGACCTGTTTCATAGCAACATTCAAATAAATTCCTAAAATTGTGATTTATTTCTATTGGTCATGGCTCCATGGTGAGACAGGGAGGATTTGGCAAAAGGAAGTCTGAAGTCCTGCAAGCATCAGTAGAAGGCAGCTAGAACCATAACAACAAAGTTTCCTGGAGCTTGGTGCCATTTCAAACTCTCAAAGCAGGTATTTCCTGCTGGTGACTCGTCTGAGCAAGTTCATCCCTCCCAGGAGCTATATAATCTCCAGAAAAGGGAATATGTGTGGTACTGATATGAAATTGGAGAATAAAGGGTGAATGATGGCTGTGCTCAACATAGCAGACATAGCTAACAACAGGAGGGCACGAGGGAACAGTCAGAGGCGATGCCAGGAGCTGAAGAACTTTGATGGGTTTTGTGGCCCAGGACCACAGGCTCACCAGAGACAGGGACAGGATTTGTCACTCTTGTTTATACCATCTTTTTCCTTCACCTTCTCAGGCATATTAGCTTTCATTTAGTTTCTCTGTTTCATAACCCTCTTGTTTTTCACAAACAGCATCTCAGGTGTCAGTAACATGTCGAGCTGAAAAAGCGTTGTGCCCTGCCCCAACAAGATTGTTATCTAAGACCAAGAAAGAAATCATTATAGTGTGCAGTGATGCAATCAGAGCCTTGTGGGGACATTTCTCCCACACACACCACTGGGTGACCACTTCTGATGGTGCCCATCAAAGAACAGCCCCTGTCCCAGACCTTTTTTTTCTCTTGGGTGGTGGTGTCTGGCAGGGCAGGGGATGGGAAAGCATGCAAGCAGTAGATATCTCACCAAATGTGCAAGAGGGATTGGCACAGGAATGATTTTGCAAAAGGCCATAGTCTGCATCACACTCACCATCCATGGCTTGCTCCAGGTTCCTCACCAGTGCAGGAAAAGTTGACATTTCCATCGAGGAGGAAGGACCCCACCTGGGAGAAGAGCCAAAATAAGGGACCAAACCAAGTGCATCTTCCAACCCAGTGCTACATTCATGTAGGCATTGGGCACAAAATTTAAATAGCAAAAGCAAGAGGAAATGTGGCGCCAGGAGACCACCAGGAACCTCCCCACCTCCAGGGAGGTGCAGTCCTTACACATTTGGCCAGAAAATCAGGCAACACAAACTGATACTGGGCAGAACAAGATGGATGATCAGCACATATCTTCTCCAGTGATAACACACCCTGCCTAGCCCTTGTTGCTGGCATTTAGCTAAATGGCACCTCACCTCTGGGGCTGCCTGGCCACCCTCTGCATGCTCACTAGATGGGGTGGGAGGTGTTACTTCCCACCCAGGTAGGCACTGGATTCAGCTGACCCTGAGCCAAAGGCAACATGGATGTTGGTGTAATGAGAGACTTCCAGATGTTACAGACTGTATTAAAGAGCAGGCTACAGGAAGGAGTGGTGAAACTTCTGATTCATACCAGCAAAACCTCCTAATAGGAGAGGAGCAGAATGTGAAGTATGGACAGCAGGAAACCAAGGCTGAGAAAGGCAATATAAAACATAGCACATCCCCTGAGGGCTCTGCCAGACTGGTAGAACTGGGGAAAAAACCCAAATGAACTATTACAAGTTCTCAGTGAAGCTGCCTCAAGGAGCTTAACACTTTGGAGAATAACTTAGTGCTCACAGCCTGCACAGACATGGAGCTCCTTGAAGAAATGCTGTCATGCACTCCTGACAGGTTCCTGCACAGCCAAACCAGCTGCCTGGACAACCAGGATCCAGCCAGCAGCTTGCCACTTTCCCAGGATCCAGCCCTATGTGGCAGCCCAGATCCTGCCCAAACCACCCAAACCCAAAACAAGAGAAATCATGCCTTGTCTTTCCTGGGTAGCACAGTTATCTCTTCTCCCAACAATCAAAATAACAGTCAAGAATTAATCTTTCTGCTGACCTTCCATCAGACACTTGTCTAGTCTGCTTATCAAGGCAGAAAACACACTTACTGGTTTCAGCCGATTTTTCCACTTTCACACCAGTAATACAGAGGAGGCAGAAAAAGCCAATTTTCTCCCAAACAACAAATGAGCTTGACTTTGCAGAAATTTTCCAGTAGACCCAGCTATTAAACCTGCTGACAGGTAATCCTTTCATATTCCAGGAGACAGAGATTTATTTTCATCCTTCTGTCCCTCCTGGCAGCGTTTGTCTGTCCCACATCCACACCTGTCCCACAGGCAATGGCAGGCCAAGAGGTGATGGTGCCTGAGGCCATTCTGGAGGGACAATCTAAAAGAGCATTGACAGATGCTCATTGCACATTACAGGGTTCCAGAACAACCACCTTCCTGTCCTGGAGTGATGTACACACATCTTCCACACAGGAAGAACATGCGCTTAAATGCTGACATTACATGGCAGATGCCCACCATATCTTCATCCATGCATTTCATTCCTGCCTCCATGCACCTCCATGAGGGCTGAGCAGCGGGACAGGAGCAGCTCTTGAATGTGTCAGATTGATTCAGTTTGGCCAGTGGCTTCAGAGGAGGTCCAGTGCCAGTCCTAGGGTTTAATATCATGTTCTAGGGATGTCTTCTCCCATTTGATGGCAGCTTCTTGCCTTAGCAGCACACCACACACATCCTGGTCCAGCCAAGGGAATCCCAGCAGAGTGATAACTACAGGACCATGGACCTTAAACCCTTAGGAAACGGCTGAGCAGGCAGCTTTCTGTCAGCATAAAGACACTGAGATGTTCAGCTGGTAAAGGCAATATGGAAACCAAAGGAGAAGAACAGACATGGGCACAGGGATGGCGAAAGCTGAGTCATTGTGATAAAAGGAGGGAAAGTTCCAAGCTGTCAGATGGTTTCCTTTCCAGTTACTTATGAGTTCACACACTGGGAATGTGCTGCTGTCAGGAAGGGCCACTCATTTACAGCCTGCATGTGAGAATTTCAAAGTTGTTGTAGTCTGAAAGTCATCTCAGAGCTCTTATTATAGATGTAATGCAAATATCTGGTGATATTCTTCCCTGGACAGACACCATACAGCCAACTCTAACCTACACAAGAGATGAAAGAGGTAAAGTTTAGGCCTTTTTGATCTGGTATTGTAAAATGCTTTTGTGGAAATGCCCTCATGAGCATATGCATTCCTATGGAATGCTTCTGTCAGAGGTTTATGGTTTGCACATGCAAAACCTCTGCAAGTATCTCCCAAAGGCATTTATGGTCAAACTCTGGGAGAACACCTGGACCATCTTGATGAGACCATGCAGAGTCTCCCTCTTCAAAAAAGCCATTCCATTCAGAACAACCCTTATTGCTTCAGCCTGGGGTGTATAAACATCCAAATAATAAAAATCATCTGACAAAAAACCCTTCACAAACTACCCAAAGAAATATTCAAACGACAAAAACACATAAAAATCAGATAATACTTTTGCAAGTTTTGCCATCTTCCAAATAGCTCAAGAGAGAGGAGAGGATGTGCAATAAAGCCTTGATGACCAGAGATTTCCATCTGGCAAAGCAACCACCAAAGTCTGAAACTGCCATATCCGGCTCCTGGATAGCACAATGACTATTAGGTTAAAAATAAAAATAATAATAATAAAAACAATAGTAATTAAAAAAGGGTAGATAAATGCAACACAGTTTGTGAGTCTGATGCTGAACCAACACCAAGATGCAGACAGGGCTGCTGGCTCCAGGCTGCAAGGGAGGAAGGCAAAGGAGCTCCCATCTCTCCTTGTACAGGCTGAGCAAAGAGGTTTATGATGGATGAGTGGAGTTGGACCTCCTGCAACATAATAATAGCAGAAAATTAGTGTTTCTGCTCAGGTCAATGTCTGTGCAGCGGGCAGGAGGGTATACCTGGAGCTCTGCTAGCTGGGCATCACTCCTCTTTTCTCCTCAAGTGTTTTTTTCCTGCTATTAACAAATACATTGTAATTAATATATAGTGAAATCCATATGCTGGCTAGGTACAATTTCAGCCTAGGAACAGTTCTGTTGTCAGGTAAAAATTCTGGGGAAATGGATGCTTTTAGTATTGCTTACCAGTTTTACCAATGTTTACCACTAAGACTAATTCCGCCTTAAGCTGGAAAAAGTCTCAGATGGGCTGAAACATTCTGGTTGCAGTTCCTTTCACCTCCACCTGTGCCCCCTAATTGTTAATTACTTGTGATGAGATTTTTCATCAAAGAGGTCTCAGAGCATAGGAGATACATGCACACTCTTGTTTTATCCTAAGTAATTATTTATTTGTGATGATCACTTTTTTTTTCTCTTTTAAAAAAAGTTAAAAGGAGTCAAGACACCCGAGCCAGTGAAAGCCTTTGGATACCAAGTTCATTTAATGCAGAACTCCACTATCAATTTTCACTCTTTCAGAATGATTTTAATGACATTTTCAGGAATTGAGTTTGCAAAAGCAAGGCTGTTACTGGATATTCAGAAAACAGAAAGGTAAGTGCTTTATTCATTACAACCTTACAGAGTGCTGTTGGCATGATTTTTCCGAGGCTTGTACTCAAAAGTTAAATTTAAGAAATTTTTACAAGGTAGAGAAAGGGCAAGAAATTACTGGCAAAAGGGGTTGCTCTGAGGTTACAGAATCCAAAATAATTTTGGTTGGCTGATCAACAGCTAGTTCATTTTCCTGAATGCATCACAATCCTCACATCAGGGGTACAAACTCATATTTGCATTGCCCAGATCAGTGAGTCCCATGGATTTTATGAACAGAGAAGAATGTACAAACTGTATGAGCCAAGGAGAGTGGGCAGCTCTCCAAAAGGGAAGCACATCCTCATTATTACAGTAAACCTCAAGGAACCCTATAATGCACCATCATTTCAGGCATTAGGCAAAATTTCCAGCAAAGCCAATAGAGGTTTGCTTGTGTGGGAGAGACTGGAGAAGCAAGGCCTCTGTGCATGTGTGAGCATGTAGAACAGGGCAGAAAAAGTTGTTTATGCAACACTGAAGTTGAGAAATGAAGCAGTCAAGCAATGCAGCGTTAGGGGTGAATGCTCAGGTGCAATCTTGCCTCCTGCTATTTAAGTGTTGGTCATCACAGTATCACTGAGAATGGAAAAGAGCTTTAAGATGATTGGCTCCACCAGTTAGCCCAGTATCACTGTGCCCACCACTAGACCATGTTCCCAAGTGCCACATGCCTTTTAAACACCTCTAGGGAGGTTTTGCATCTTGCTGTGACTCCTTGCAATAACCAAGAGCCGTGAAATATGCCGTGGCTGGGGTTGTTCAGTGACAAGTCAACCTGTGATTATCCTGCAAAGGGAAAAAAAAAAAAAAAAAAAGAAAAAAGTCAAAACTTTAATTTGAGACTTCATTCTTCACTTAGGAATTGGCTGTGTTGTGGTTCTGATCTGGGATGATCCTCACAGCTGACTCATATCAAGGCAACAGCCCCTTTCTAAAAGCACAGGATCACCTGAAAATGTTCCTGCAGTTACTCCCTTGCAAAGTCCACATCATCCCTCAGGATTCAGCTGCACAAGACAGACAGGGCAAGCACAGTTGTCCCATGGCTTATAACACAGCTTTCTTATCCCCCTGAGAAATAAGAATCTGTGACTATAAAGGGACAAGCTTCAACAACTCTTTGCCCTTCAAAATTTCCAGTTTATTTTGCATGTAATTCCTAATGATCTAATCTAATTCTGATCTGTGTTTATTTTTCTTTCCTCAGTATCTGAGTGATATGTTTGGCTCAGAAAATGGATTTAACTATCATTTCAAGCAACTGCTAATTACAGCGACTGAAACTTGACACTTAATTCCAGCCTCAAAGGTGTGAATGGTTCACATTAAATATCAGATGAGGTGCAACATCTCAATTTAGGCCAGCTAAACATTTGCCAAATTTCTGTGCAGAATGCACGCATGAGCAAGATACAAACGAGACAGAGGAAATCAGATATCACCAAGCTCTCAGTAACACTCCAGAAGCACAGCTCACACCATTCATCTTGGGTACCTTGAAGTTCAGGCACCAACGCTGCAGATTTGGGGTGGGGCATGTAATGTGCGGAGAGTGAGAATTTCAGCAGAAAATAAATTATTATCAGAAAATCAGAGAAACATTTAGGTTAATTGTTAAATTCTCCGTTTTCACATCTTACAGGTGCTGGAAAAGAAAGACTTTGGCAAATTTAATGGAGTATTTAGTAGGGCAATGCAAGCTCAAGGAACAGGGTGAGTTGGCAGCACCCAGGAACACAGATGTAGGCAGGGTCCAGTGACAAGTGGAGGCACTGGAGGGGCTTTTCCTTTCTCTGAGTAATCTTTTAGGATGGTGCCAAAGGTGTCAAACTTGAAAGATGAGTTTACAGCTAATTACCATAGTTTACAGACACTGAAGCTAAGGCACATATTTTCAGAAGGGCTGAGAGATTCAATATTTTGCAAATTAAAGCAATAGCTTTGTTAACTATCTGATCACATTGCAGCAGTACCCCTAGGAACTGGGGCATGGGGACCATGCTGGCATGGAGTGAAGGATTCAGTTCTGGGCTTCTGGACCTTGCTTGGGTGAGGCGAAAGAGATATTTCATAATTTTTTTAGTCATTTACTTACAAAAATTAAGTAATTACAAGCCAAAAAAGTGGCATTTTACTTTCTCCAAGTAATGTGGATTTAGATGGCCCATCTTCAAATGCTCAGGTTTGAAATTTCTTACAGGCATTCTTCTGCTTGACATAAAACCTCACATTAATAACTTGCTTCAGAAAGTCAAACATTGTCAATTGAGGGTGGCTGTGAGCCGGACACAGATTATCCCAGTAATCCCACATCCAACCATCCCAATAATCTCTGTCAGCAGGAAACGCCCAGACGCAGCATTTCAAGGGTTCAGTCACATCCCAGCAGTCATTTTTCCTGCAGTCCTGCTGCATCTGTGGCTCTTACACTGGAGCACATCTAAAGCATCCAGCTGCCCTGGAGCCAGGGCTTTACCTCTGCTCATTTACCATAAAACCCTGTTGTTCTGTGGGAACATCTGCTCATTTGTGCTCCACCCAAACACCCCACACATTCTTCAGAAATTTTTCTTTCTACAAGTCTGGCTGCTTTTTGCCAGCAGCAATGTACACACTTGAAAAAAGTATTTAACAGGAGGGAAAGCACGTTCCACATAAATTATTCTCACTGCAGGATGAAGAGGAGCAAACTAACACTGTTGTACTTTGGGAAACGGTTTGCAAAAGGAAAGGAGTTTAACTCAGTTAAGGGGAAATACCTGCCATTCCCTCTCAGTAATATGCTTCCAAGAGCATTTATTGTAATTAACCCAGGTCAATACTGGACTATGTAGATGTAGAGCACCCTGGGAACTGCATCTTCCTGTGTGAATCCATGGTCAGGGAGACCCCAGGGGATTTCTAGCTGGGCTTCCACCTTGGCTTTTGTGAAATGGGCTGTCTGGCCAACTAGGACAGTTCTGCCTGGTGGTGATCCATCCCTGACACCAGAATGAATTTCCATGGAAGACAAGGAGTCCTGCTTCAATGGGCATGGCAGAAGACACTGCTGTGCCAGACAAATGCAGGGTATGGGGTTTACAGCAATTTTCTATGCTAATAGACCCACACATTCACAATTCCAGCTCAAACTTTTAATTCTGATTACTTTACACTCTAAGTCACCAGTTGGACACCTTTTTTTTAATTTTCATTGTTTAATTTGGAGACTACTTTCCAAGAGATGTTGACAGCTTTTCTTCCCATCACCTAAACACCATGTAGGGTCACAACCCCAGTACCTAAGGTCTCAAAGAAAGGAAGCAAAGGTGACAGTTACCAATTCTGCCCTTCACTCACATTTAAGATAATGTAAAAGTATTTTTTAAGATGACCTTCAGACATAAAAATATCTGTATTTTTTCCAAAACTAGATAATGTTTCAGTTCTGAATCTACTTCTACCTCTTTCCTTCTCTCTGACAATGATGTTGTTTTAAGTAGAACAGTTTTTTAGATTTGTGGTCATGACTGGCTACTAAGACCTCTGTGAGAGGTGCTATTTCAGTCACACTTAATCTTCAGCCATATGAAAATGAGTAATACTTTGTCTTTTATTGCTTAAAGTTCTCTTTAATGACCCTGCGCTCTTGCATAGGAACAAGCTGCCCAGTGAAGTGGTGCAGCCACCATTCCTGCAGGTATTTAAATACCTGGAGGTATTTAAAAGATGTGCAGATGTGGCCCTTAGGGATGTGGTTTGGTGGTGGCATAGGCAGGTCTGCATTAATGGTTGGACCTGATGACCTTAAATATCTTTTACAATCTAAATGATTCTGATTGGATGGTTGTTCTTCGGAGCTTCATTCTGAGATTGGAGATCCTGTGTGCTCTTCTCCCTGGGCTGCAAACAACAGTCTCTGAGCAGACACGGGCAAAAAGCCTTTCCTGGGCTTCTTGGTTTTAGTCTCACTATTTTATTTAAGTACTATTTTGTTTAAGCATATGGCACCCAACCCCTCACCTCTAAATGACTGCTGTGGCACAGGCTGAGATCAAAACTGTGCACCAAAGAAAGGAAATGAACACAAATTCTCCAAAAGTCAGCTCTGACCTCCACACCCCTCTACTGAAATCTCCACAAACCCTTTTACCTAGTCCTTTGCAGAGTTACCCACCTGGTCCAAGAGTTAAGATAAAGGGGTCATTTCTTGAGCCACCTTCAGCTGGTTACTCAAGAGCTGCCTCTGGTGAGAAGCTCAGTGTCAGGGAGGTTTGGTGGACAGAGTTTCTGCAACACCTACTCAAACTGCAGCTGTGTACTTCTTCCCTTCACTCCTGCAGCTTCAGAAAACCCAGCTTGATTTAATCTCTCATAATTGCACACTGTGTTTTTATTTAAATTTGCCTCCAGTCTCCTACCAACTAGTGCACCCAGGCATAAGCAATGGCGGCACCTCAGATCTTGCTGGACTGCCTCACTCACAGTTTCATCATCTTCAGCTCCTAAAATGCTCCAGGTCATTGCCTGAAGCTGAGTGAATGTGTTCCTCCCTCAGATTCCAGATCGTCCCATGAAAAGTCCTTTGTGATCACAAGGCCTGCCCTGGAAGAGCTCTGTGTGCAGGGAAGCCCTGCAATCACTCCCAGAGCCACGCATCGTACCAGCCACACTTCCCTGAGACTCTCTGAAGTGGTTCCCACAGGAAGTGATGTGCTGACTTTGGCTTGCAGGAGAAAGTTAAGAGTGAACAACTGTTAGAGTTGTTTGAATCCAGTTCAAGCTCCATCTCTGTCATGCTTAAAATTCTTAATATTTCTGTAACATTAAATGGGCGGTTACACATGGATCTCTCTGGCCTCCCTTGTACCAATAATCCAAAATCCCAGAATAGTTTTGATTGAAAGAGACCTTAAAGATCATCATAAAGTTCCAAACCCCTCTGCCATGACCAGAGATGCCACTCATGAGATCAGGTTACCCACAGAATGGGCAGCCACCACTTCTCCATCCTGGGGAATGCTAATATTTCAGCCATGAGCTGGGTTGACCAAGTGATAACTGCTCCCATTCTCCAGATGAAGTCATGGCCCTTGTGCATGTCTTGGCCTTAGAGTTTGGTGAAACAATTTTCAAAATCCACTTTCCTGGCTCAAGATAGATTTACTAAATTCCTTAGAAGTGTATGCATTGCACAGAGCCAGGCCAGCAAAAACCACCAATGAAAGGGCAAGAGCACTCTTCTCAGCTCCTTATTTTGTGCCTACAATGGCTTTCACCATCTTCCTAATGCCTGTATCCCACCTGCCCTGATGCTGGAAAAGAAATTGAGGGAGCAGTAAGTTTTCCTCCACTTCCCCATCTTTCCCACCAACAGTGCTGTTGAGGTAAATGGGCCAATGCTCTCCTCTCTAACAAACATCTCTGTGGAAGCAGCTGCTAGTTACAACCACACTGAGCACAGACACCAGCTAGAGATGACTCATTTATGTACTCTTGGTTTGTCTGGAACTACAGATTATGTCTACAGTGGAAAAGTTCAACTTGGAAAAGTTCATCTTAGCAAATATATTCGTTAGCATGATTAGATCAACACCACCACAATATTCAATTTTACTTTGCCTCTGGCAGCAGCAAGGACAGCTGGGCAAAGCAGCATTTAACATGGTGCTAGTAAAGGCATGTCAGATAATATCCTTTCCAACACAAGGCAGTCTCCCACAGACAAGCCATAGCAAAGGAACAGTTTTGGTGGCCACTGAGTAAATGAAAATCTTTCTGAGGTTATAAATGCGTGGGCTGAGCCAACACATACATCAGCAGGAGCCTCTGACAGCAGGGGCAGTTCTTTGCAATGGTACCAGCATCAGCAGGAGTTCTTCACAGTCCCAGGAAAATTCCACAGAACTGAGCACTCCAGACTGTCTTGGGAATTTCTGGAGGCTGTTTTCCAGATAAATTAGCAATGCACACACCCTGCAAAGGGCTTATTGGACACCAAAGCAGGCTGTGCCTATGCGAATGCCACAACTGTGCTCGTAGGCACAACTCTCCTCCCTGCGTACTTCCCCAGCCCTGGGGGCACTGTGTGCACCCCAGTCCCCACCAAACTGCTTTCCCAAAGCTGATGCTGTAAAGTTGCAAATGCTGTCTCATGTTACTCACTTGAAAAGCACACACTCCCAGTCCAGTGATTACAGACACTCTACCTGTGAAAACAGGTAATAGATGAGGTGCAAATGATGCAGCTGAATATAGTACACACTCAGGAATATTTGCTTGGTCAGAAGGAGATAACAAACCCTGCTGTGACTGTAAGACATTTCCTCAATCTGCTCTTTATTCCCTACACACACCCAGTGAAAAGCACCTGTTAGGTCTAAATTACACACACCCACCCTGCAATCCACCTGGGAGATGTAAAAGCTACAAGAGTGCTTTATTGCAGCTAAGAAATTATTCTTCAGCCACAGAAGCAGTCAGCAGAGGCCAGTCAGTACAGCAGCATCAGAGCAGCACTGGAGAATCAACCTGTGGGCATCAAATTCATTTAGGCTTCACCTGGTGAGCTACAGACTCAGTCAATACACAGACCACCACCAAAGTCTCTAAAGACTCCTGTCATCATCTGAACTGCACCTACACAAGTTCACCTGTCATGCATCAGGATAAAGGCATTACTGGCTCCTTACCCATCTGTAATCCAGTCCACGTGCTGGCAGAGGGAATTGTCCTGCACTGACTGCCCCACCAGAGGATTCCCCAGCCCATGGAAACACTTTCCTTTAGCAGCTTAGCCAGTTTTTCTGGTTTGCTTTGCATTGACATAGTGGTATGGAGCAGCTGGTGTGGCTCCTCTGGCTGACTGACTCTTACTCAGCTGCCTAGGAAAACTCTACAATGGAAGCAAACGTGGAAGTCAAAAGATCAGATTCAGGAAGATTTGCCCTGGCTTCAGAAAAGCCAGAGAGATGGTGTTGCAAAGAACTTGGGTCAACAGCCTGAAAAGTCCATGTGGCAGAAGTTACCTTTTCCTCACAGTCAGCAGAAATTTCTAGCCAGCATCTCAACTTTTGCTTTATCTGCCAGCCCAGGTGCTTTCATGGATGCCCTAAGCAGATCTGTGCACTACAAAGCTGTGCCTGGATCAGTGCTTTTCCTCACCTTAGCTTCAAAGGTGGTAATTGAAACACAGGCAAAATTTAATAAAATACTCTAAAAGGGTCAGCAGCAGAGTAGAGACAGAAGCTCAGCTGATCATCACTTCAGGACCCCCACCTGATATCCATTTGTTCTCCACAGGTGAGTGCCTGAGCACACTGCCTAAATACCTACACATGGCATTTAGTCTGTGGACCCAAAAAAAGAAGAGTTCTCTCCACTCTTTCTGCCTGTAAACATAAGCAAACCCTGCATTCCTTGCTATTAAGAGACATGAGCTGGTGAGTTACTGCATGGATACAGCCCCTGCAGGCAATCATCTCCCTTTGCTCTCTGAGATTAACTCTTGTTTACACCTGCAAATCTTTCCCCCCTGATACGTACCAAATGTTACCAACAGGTCTTCAGAGTTCTCAGGAGACCAGAGATCCCAGCCTGCAATGCTAGAAGACAAAGCAAATTTAACCCATGATCTTTGAAATCCTGGGGGGTCACAAAACCCCTTATCCCATCTCCCACCTCCTAGCCACACACAAACTATTCCATGATCCTGCTCAATGCACTTGACCAGCAGAAGACTAATCTACCTCTGAAAGCCTGCTGGGCTAGCAGTGAACAGCTCAGAGAGAGGGCTGGCAAGACCCAAATCGCAGGAAGGGACAGGAGGTCACATAGCCTGGGGCAGAGCAGGGAGGAAGGAGACAGGTAAGCTGGATATTTGTCCTAAATGAGCTCCTGGATTGTCCTTGGATGGGCTCTTGGGTTCTCTTGTGAGGGGATCCTGGGCTGAGATGGAAGGGGCTCTCCATACACACGGAGAGGCCAGCTTTGCCAGCCTGTGCCACTGTTGCCACACCAGGACCAGGGATTTTCCCTCTCTAACTGGGAACAGAATGGGAGGCAAGAAGCCACACGCTTCAGGAGGAGCTTGCAGCCTGAATCTGATATGCAAAGTGTCCCCCAGCATCAGAAACAGCACTCCCATAAGAGAAAAGTCTTTCCAGTCATAAGTTTCAAAATTATTTCTATCTGCATCGTAATGAATTTGCCACTGGCAGGGGTTGAAACTCAGGAGTTAATGTAGTGCAGGTTTATGGTGAAGGAACGCTTCTGGAGCTGTAATTCACGGTAATTGACAGGAGCTGTCTACACACATATGAAATATGCACGTTGTAGCTGCAAAACAGGAATCCCTGTGAGCATCAGAAAACAAACAGTGCCTTTTGCTTCCAAGCACTATGATTACTGTTCTTTCTCACATCAAATAAAAACTTGTAGCTACATCCAAATCTGAAATGACGTGCGAATAGTCAAAGATGCAATTGCAACTAACCAACGGAGCACAGGAACCACGAGAGGAATGTACATGAGGAACAGCAAACCATTCCCATCCATGCCTCACTTTGATCACAAAACACACAGAACAACCAGTGAGCTCAGGGCAATGAAAATCATCAGGTAATTATCATTTGTGTCACCCATTTTCATCACTTCATTTTAAAACAAGGGTCTATGGGGACAGAATGGCTTAGCTCCATTGATGTGAACACAATCATTCCCCTAAGATTAATCTGTTTGAAAAATGCATCTGCTCTGTGAATAGATCTGCTTTTAATAGCTAAAGTCGACTTACAGCCGTACATATATATTTAGGAGAAAAGGTTCAGTTTCTTAATGAGGGAATTAGTGAGGGGATGTACCCAAGGACCTTTACTGGGATTGCTGAGCCATGGATAAATTTGTTAGAAATAGAGGTTTGTGATGTGAGATCTCAAATATTGCGTACAGAGGACTTCAAGGCAGCAAGGGAAACACTCTGAAAATTTTCAGTTTCTCAAAATGTGTCACCACATCAAAGCACAGCCATCCTGTGAAGACATTTGGGCTTGAAAATGTATTTGGGGAAGATTTTCTGGAAGCTGGAGTAATCTATATCTTAGAGGAATGTAATGGCATGGTGTAGATTTCTTTAAATTAATTTCTTGACCCAAACCCAGTAATGTTTAAAAATTCAATTTTAGGACACCACTCTAAAAAGAGTTCTATCCTGCTCCTGTGCAAAATGAAAACTATCTTTGAAGCTGTGAAAGCTGAAACAAACAGAGTTATCTGCTTACATCTGTAGCTGTAGGGGACAATGTTAGAAAACCAATGAACCCAGCCAATGCCAGTTAATTCTCACTGCAGTTGTAAGTTATAGAGGATTTTCCCCCTCATTCCTTCCCCTGTTGATACTATTGAACACTAATATCTTCAAGGAAATATACTGGGAAGCAAAGCCCCCTGTCTAGATTAAACACGTTGAATGCTTTATATTCCACCACCGAACACATGGGTACAAAGCATGGCCTTAAGGAAGGAGTGTTCACCAGATTTCTTGTCTTCTGGCAGTGCTAAGTGACAGCTAACCCCACCTGGCCCCACCATTCATCACCTTCCCTGAGGCCTGTGAAACCCCCATTCCTGGAAGTCTTCAAGGTCACATTAGATGGGATTCTGAGCAGCCTGGCCTAGTGAAAGTGTCCCTGCCTATGCAGGTGGGTTAGAACAGGACAAGCTTTAAGCTCCCTTCCAGCCCAAGCCATTCTAAGATTCTATGAATGTGACTCCCCATTGGCTGTGTTCCCCTCCCAGCTTCCATCCTCAGCAGAGCTCCCACCAAACCAGGTGCTGTGGAGCTCCAGGCTGGCAAAGCAAGGCCTGGGGAGAGGTGGGCTGGGGCATGGCAGGGGTGGGGACAAGGTAAGAGGTGGTGCTGCTAAATCTGAGACCCTGCACAAGGTTCTACCAGATTTTTCCCTGAAATAAATCTTGACATAGCCCTGCCCATTATGTTTTACATTCCTTATGCATCGTGAAGGCCTTGTTATTAATTTCCTAAGCTAATGGCAGGACTCTTCCAATCTCCTCCACATTGGGCTGGTTCCTTGTTCCCAAGAAGGGACCTGATATATAAAACATGATCATCTGAGGGCTGCCAGTGAGCTCACTTCAAGGGGATTCAGCCCAGACAGGACATCATTACTGAGCCTTAACTCATCCCTTTTGTTAGCAGAGCTGTTCTTCTGGTTGGCTCCTGTGTGAGTGAGGAAAACAGAGAACCTTGACTCCTTAGCCAAAAGGCCTGAAACTCCTGAGCCCAGCCCTGCAGTCACCACTCCCACAGCTCTTCCTTTACTTACACAAGCAGTTCCACCTGTGGATGAGGTTGGAGGATTTTTGGGATGAGACTCAGGTAATCCTGACCTGACCTGACTCACAAAGCAGGAGGAAGGAGTTCAATCCAATTGGCCTAGGAGGCAGTGCACCTTGCCAGAGATACCTGATGCCAGTTTCCTTGAAAATAAAGAAATAATCACCTTTCTGATTAAGTTTAGATACTTTTAGATGGGCAAGGAGGAATGAGTCAAAGCTGAAGGCACTATCTGAAAAGAGTAGAAGAGGAAGATGGATGTCAGGGCAAATTGTTTTCATTTGGAAGTTCAGCATTTGGAAGTTCAGAGATGTTAAATTGCAGGAGGTCAGTGTGTTTGCAGCTAAAGGCCTTGCTTGTGAAGTTTTTCTCTCCCACCCCAGCCCAGATGCTAAGTGAAAGCAAACAGGACTTTTCACTCTTTTTGAACCTAATCCTGCACTATTCAAATCAGCCAGGCTTTGTTGTGAGCCCCGTTCCCAGGTGGGGAGGGAACACAGCCCACAGTGCACTGCCTAGTCTGATGGCAAGAAAAAGAGCATTTCTGAAATGTGTCAGCTAAAATATTTGAACAAGCAGGTTTTCAAATCCCAGTGTGGACAGAAGGAGCTGCTTTTTAGCAGGTGTTAGAAGGAAAAGATAAAGCTGCTCAGTTGAAAATATGTCATCTTTCATTTGGAAATGTGTCAGTACAAGTGTGTTAGCACCTTTGTGCCAAGTCTGGACAAGCCCTGGAGGAGGAGAATGGCTGAACTAAAAAGGAGAGGGAGGTGGAACATCTCTGGAGGCAGCTGAGTGCTGCAGTACTTTGGGTAGGAGAAAGAAAACAGCTATCCTCTAATGGGAGCATTTTTAAAGCCAAGGGATTGAAGAGTTCACAGCTGCCAACATTTTTACACCTTCCCCAAGCAGAGTCTGAGGATCCTGTTTGAGGTGGGCCACATGGAGATCTTTCTGCATTAGGATTCCTGAGGCTGGTGTTACTGTGGGTCCCACTGAGTTCTGTAGCAGTGGGACCACTACAGGAGCCAGACCCAGAGGCAGAGAGGAAAGGGGTCACCCCCCAAGAGCTCAAACTGATCTCTGCCAAATCCTGCTGCTATAGCCCCTTTGACATCCAAGATGGCATTTTGGATGCTACACAATCACAGCAAAACCCAGCCCAGGCATCTTCATGTGCCCCACCAAAATCCATAGCAGACCTTCAAGCACAGGGTTAGCTTGGCTGCATTTTCTCTGTTCATAGCCCCACTCACTTGGAACTTACCCAAGCAGCTGCTGATACAGCCCCGAAGAGACACAATAAAAAGGCAAGGGAAATGTACAAATTCTACTTAATTTGGAACAAGGGATCAGTTAATCTGATCCCTGAGGAACTCAAATATATTTATTTTCATGATAGTGTTCCAAGAAAACAGCTTTCCTACCTTGGATCCACACTCCCCTTGTGCAAACTTGCCCAGATACCCAAACCAGCTCTCAACTTGCTGCTTGAAACCAGATTTGGTATATTTTGAGCTATCTCTCTCTTTGGTATTAAAAGATGGGTATAAACCTAAGGCACAGAGATATCTAAAAGCAGCAAAGACAATGTGAGCTAGGATACTCTGATTTCTGTTTTGTTTCCCATGGTTCCACTCCCACCACAACAAATCCAGTGTAACGCATCAAACAGGGGATTATTAAACACATTATTGAGGTCTGAATAATTA